TGTTTCTATTTATTTAAACTCAAGATAAAGAAATTTAATCCTGATTGCAATTTAGCACATGTCCACATTTGAAAAATACAAATGTATATAGTACAACAATCAAGGTCTTTTTACATGCATTGGATTAAATTTAGGAATTTAAGAGACTTTTGAACACAGTAATGATTTCTTTTTGTATATAGATAAGGATTGCAACTCATTAAAATCGGTTCTCTGATGTTATTTTTTCAATTGATGTGTTCCAAAAAGACAGAGAATTCAAAGAATTTAGTAGAAAATGTGAGAAAACAACAAATTAATAGGCCATAGTCATTAATGTATGAGTTGCCTCAGTTAATAACAGGAAGAAAAGAATTACAAAAACTAATGTACCAACATAAAATTTTACCTGAGTATTAATATATCATCTAATCTGAGACTTCATGCGGTGACATGTAGCATGATGACAAGATGAAGAGAAAACTTTCAATTTTTTGTTATTATTTAGATTATCTAGGATATCATTTTAGATGAAGTATAATTGAACAACCTATGAACTCCCAGAACACTCAGTCAGTCGAACCCTGTCTTGAATGTCCTGACTGTTTTAATTTGGAGTGAAGAGCAAAATAGAATTTTTTTTATATGTACATTCATTATGCATGTGCTATTTCTCAGCTGCTTCAAATATACATGTAAATTAAATATACAGGCATATATATAATGATGTTCATTATCTCGGACCGCAATAAGAATAATCTGTTTTATCATTTTTAACTTAGAACATTCTATCAAAATTAATCCAAGAATCCGCTCCACTCAAAACACATTTATCCCCACTTTTATATCATGAACATCACCAACATTGTCGCAATATAAAAGTAAGGGTTTGAGGATGTTGGGTGAGTTTAAAGTTCTCTACAGAATGTGTTTATATATATTATATTAATTGACATAGTTTTAATATGGTGTTATGCTCACAATTACTTGGTCACAAACCATGAAGATTGGTCTTTAGAGTTTAATTATCAAGTAGATAGGAGTCACGTAGGGTAAAAGTCATGGACATTCTGTGTCCCCAACTTAGGAGTAGGATTTCTGCCTTTCAAGCTCGCGATCGGCCTATAGATGTGATTTAAATGAAGATACAATGCAAAATGGCCACATTGGACATATCCTTCTTCCTTTAAATAGATTTTATCTATTTATATGCATATATGTACATCTCAAAACATGATAAACAACAATGCATGTGTACCTTGGTTTGTCGGGAGCTGTTCTTGTGATGACACCAGACGTTATAAAGATGTGACAGACTAACCACTTATTTGTAACTATGAATATCTAAAAAAAAGTATTACATAGACACAAAAAGTAGTAAAATATGTCACTCCTCCTTTTCTTTCAATCAAATTTATCGTAAATAATCCGCCGCATTATCTTTCTTGACTTACGTCTTAGTTGTGAGGTGCAGATAAAGTTGAAACCTACTCAAAATGGCAATTCCGGATTATACAGTTCGCCTTACTGGCTCGTTTTCATAAAAAAATAAAATGCACATCTCCGAATCGAGACATTCGACGCCATATTGGATTTGAGGCGAACTACCTAAGAAGCAAGTTCGCGAGCGATCGCGAACGCTCTGGCGATCACCTCCGTTCAGAAGCGAGCGCTCGCGGACAATCGCGAGCGCTCGCTCTGCTGAACACACCTCAGGTTTAATTTAGATCGGGCTCGTTCGTCAAACTGCACGTGACATTTGGTGCGTCTAGACTCTGACGTCACATGACGTCGTATTTAAGTTGCATTACCAAACCGAAGCCTGAATATTGTTGACTTTAATGAAGTACGTTTTATTTACTATTTATCTGCAATATATCCAATAAATCAAGGCGAGTTTATTTTTTGTTAGTTAAACTGTTGTTGTTATTCTCGCGAGAACGTAGCTTAAACACGCGATGCATTGTGGGTCCAGAATTACTGCGGAAAAGAATGTGCCGTAGTCCGAATTTTCTCTTCGCCCAGGCGTTGTCGTTAGAGCTCGCAGTGACGAGCGGCGCTTCGTCTACATGGCTGTAGGAACCGGGGGGGGGCACGAGGGGCCGTGCCCCCTCCTCAATAATTTTGCCGATATATAGTTTACAATTGAAAACATAGCTACTATATGCTTGTGCCCCCCCCCCCCTCATTAAAAAACGTCTGACCTTTTTTTTTCTTTTTCGTTATCAAGGAATTTTTGGTAGTTGATAGTGCCCCGTCAAGCTGTGCCCCCCCCCCCAACTGAAATTGCTTCCTACGGGCCTATATAAGCTATTTTAGGAGCGAGTTTTCTGTCTTAAAAATAGTAAACATGCACTGTTTTCTTATTTGCTATACCTGTAAATCCATTTCGGATACTATATCCGTATATCAGTTTTTTTCCGCGTGTTCATTTTCCGCTTTGTTCGCGATGATTTCTGACTCGCGGGAAAAAAAATCGGCGTAAAATTGATACAAAGTTTTGTTCTTGTTATGTTGAGTCTGTCCATCCGACTGTCAGTCCGTCTGTCTATGTCTAGCTAGTTGTCTTTTTGTTAGAAAAAACCAGAAGTCTCTGTCGAGACTGTAGCTCTACTGGTTTGTACTTTAAACAATTAAGGAAGAGAAAAGTAGCACTTGGACTTGAAACTTTGCAAAAGCAATAAATAAATAGTAATCCTTGTTTTACTCGCTTTTTGTTGCAAGATGAATTGCAATCAGACTAAAACTGTAGAAGGAGTAGCCTAATAAAAGAATTTAGAGAAATTTCGATTTTAGATACCATGGCAACATTATTCATCAAAATAAAAAAAAAAAACAATTAAGACAATTATGTATCTCAGTGTAGTCTACTTGCATGCCATGTTATATTAAAATCAGACCAAACTGTAGGCAAATTAATATTTTGAAAATATATCAAAAAAATTCAATTTTTTTGTAACCATGGCAACACTTCATCAGAATCAAAAAAAATTGATATATAGAATTATGTATTTCAGTGTAATATACTTGTGTGCCAAGTTATATTGAAATAAGGCCAAACTGTAGGAGGAGTAGCATTTTGAATGTATTTTACAGAAATTTCTATTTTTAGAAACCATGGAAACACCGTTCACCGAAATCAAAGACCGATATACAGAATTATGTATCTTAGTGTAGACTACTTTTGTGCAAGTTATACTGAAATCAGACCATGTAGGAGGAGTAGCATTTTGAATGTATTTCACAGAAATTTCTATTTTTAGTAACCATGGCAACACCGTTCATGGAAATCAAAAACCGATACATAGAATTATGTATTTTAGTGTAGTCTACTTGTGTGCCAAATCATATTGAAATCAGACCAAAACTGTAGGAGGAGTAGCATTTTGAATGTATTTCACAGAAATTTCTATTTTTAGTAACCATGGTAACACCGTTCATTGAAATCAAAAACCGATAAATAGAATTATGTATCTTAGTGTAATCTACTTGGGTGCCAAGTTATACTGAAATCAGACCAAAACTGTAGGAGGAGAAGCATTTGAATAATTGTTTACAGACAGACGGACGGACGACGGACAACTTACTATCGCATAAGCTCTTCTGGTCTCTGACCAGTAGAGCTAAAAACTATCCTTGCCCATAACTTTTGATTGATTGGAGCTATGGCTTTCATATTTTACAGATGTATTCCTTGTTATAAAACCTTTCTTTAAGTACCAACATATTTAACCTCTTGACTTTGACCTTGCAGTTTGACCTACATTTGCAAAACTTTAACTTTGGCCAAACTTTTGAACTGTTGGAGCTTGGGCTTTCATACTTCACATGTATATACCTTATGATAAGACCTTTTTCATGGGTACAAATATTTTCAACCTTTTGACCTTGGAGTATGACCTACTTTTAAAAAAAATTAACCTTAGCCATAACTTTTGAACAGTAAATGCTAGGGCTTTCATATTTCACGGGTGTATTCCTTATGATAAGACCATTCCTTGTGTACCAACAATTTTGACTCTTTGCCCTTGACCTTGGAGTTTAGCCTACTTTTGAGAAAAAAACTTTAACCTTGGACATAATTTTGGAATGGTTATTAGTGATAGGGATTTCATGTTTTTCAAATTTAGTAGAAGCTCATTGTTTTTTTTTATATTCATGTCAACAGTTTGACTGCTTAATATACAGTAAAGAACATTTTAACGACATCATCAAATATGATTGTTCAATCCCACTCCTGATTTCAATTTTTCTGACTGATTCTTGGCTATCTTTCAATTTTTTCTATCACTTTTCATTCATTTAATTTTAAGGAATGAATTTAATAACAACCTAATTTGTAAGGTAAAAAATGGGTTGGGGCATTTTACACTTTATAAACCGCAAAGTGGTTTATAAAAAAGCGTAAACTGTTCCAACCCACTTTATACCATATAAATTGGGTAGCTATTAATTTCATTCCTTATAATTTAATTTTCATTCATTTAGTGTATGAAAAAAAGATTACTGCCTTTAAAATGAATTCAAATTGTACAAAATTTGAATGTAACGTCAGGCAGATCGATACGTTTTTGAAGCAAGTCTTTGTGACATAGGCAGCCCAATTTATACCATATAGAATAATTTTTTTATCCAATCAAATACTGCTTTACAACCAAAATTAAATTATTGGCACTTCAAACAGTTTGAAATGTGATTGAGAAAGATGATACAAATTGAATTATTTTCTTTACTTTAAATACCTCATTGACAATTATTTTTCAATAAAAAATAAATCAAGATTATAAGCAACATTGTAATTATGAGGTTTTGGTATATATATATTTATAGAGACATCTTTGAAGCCACCGTAATTATTAATCTAGGCCCAATAGAACTAATGTAAATATTTATTATCACATTACATGTGCAAAGAAAATATGGACATTATTCTTGCATTTATTAATTACCATTTAGATATCACCCTATATCTTGAATGTCTTTTTTTTTTTTAAAGTGCATGCTTCCTCCCTCTCCTATCCTCAGCATAGACTTTGGGTAATTTATGTAAAAGTAATAAGGTAACAAGGATAGCCTTGAGTGTCATTAAAGATGATGAACATTGAAGGATTGTTGACATTATCCACAACAGAATCGTACAGGATATGGGACTGCTGGCCAGCTTTGGTTGGAGGCACCCTCATTCCCCCTCTTCCACCAGTGTATTCCCCTGTCAGCACTTTACACAGGTACATTCTCTTGTGACCACTGGGATCTGGTTTAGAGTAAGTATTAGAAGCTGAGTAGCCGGCATTGACCGCAAAGTAAACTCCCTCTCCATAAGCTGTAGCTGTGGATTAAAATAAGAAAGCAATGTAATATAGTTTAATATCTGTACCAACATCATAGGTGTAATCATTGGACTAATAATTCCATGAAATAATCTTCCACTAAGTGCACCAAAATATAATTTTGGTATAGCCATCAATTCTCCTAAACAATTTTGATTATATAAAAGGTAAAATATTTAGTGGGATACAGCGTAAGCAAGAATTCTTTTCCAGTATTCAATTTATTAGATACCAATTGTGCAAAAACAAGCTACAGTTTCAGGAAATTTATGGTGAAGGGTAAAAGTTTATTTTAGACATTATCTAGATCAATTTGTAACAATACATAAACAATACATAAATGTTACCCAGACCTTTGACCTTTAACCTCAAAATCAACAAGAAGTCTGTGAGCCAATGCTCACTAGTAATACCCCCGCTTTGATGTGAATATACATTCTAATGTGAATGTACACAAGTTCAGTTATAGACAGACACAAGGATGAAAAAGAAGTTGACATCAGATTCTTACAAAAATGAATCTCATTATATTGCTGGCCTAAACAAAGAGTGTGCTAAAATTTCAAGCATCTGCAATCAGTAGTTGCTCAGAAAACTGCGACCAAAATTTGTTCTGAATGGTACAGACAGATGCACGGATAAACAGGAAGTTGACATCGGATTCCTACAAAATTAATCCCAATATATGGCATGCCTAGGCAAAGAGTGTGCTAAAACTTCAAGCATCTGCAATCAGTAGTTGCTCAGAAAACTGTGACCAAAATTTGTTATGTATCGTACAGACAGACACACGGATAAATAGGAAGTTGACATCGAATTCATACAAAAATGAATCCCACCATATGACATGCCTAAGCAAAAAGTGTGCTAAAATTTCAAGCATCTGCAATCAGTAATTGCTGAGAAAAATGTGACCAAAATTTGTTATGTATGGAAGGGACAAACGCACGGATAAACAGGAAGTTGACATCAGATTCATATAAAATTGAATCCCACCATATGGCATGCCTAAACAAAGAATGTGCTAAAATTTCAAGCATCTGCCGTCAGTAGTTGCTGAGAAAACTGTGATAAAAATTTGTTATGTAAGGTATGGACAGACACATGGATAAACAGGAAGTTGACATTGGATGCATACAAAAATGAATCCCACCATATGGCATGCCTCAACAAAGTGTGTGCTAAAATTTAAAGCAACTGTGATGAGTAGTTTCTGAGAAAACTGTGACGAAAAATTTGTTACAGACAGACAGACACACAGACAGACAGACAGACACACAAGGGTAAAACAGTATACCCCCCTCTCCTTCCGAGCGGGGGTATAATAAGGTTTTTCTTAAGTTAGAGGTAGTCATCACCTCAACTTTCATTGCAAATGCTCCAGAAAACTAAGTTATCGGCTGAAAAACATTTTATGCATTACATGAATTTCTTATCCTGGCCTTTGAAGTCATAGTGAGTTATGACATAAAATTCACTGCAGAAGCAAAATGACTTTTAGAGATATCATCTGGAAACTGAAATATTACAGGCAGAATGAGAAACAGATGGATGGACAGACTCAAATCAATATGCCCAATTTTTGGCAAAATTAAAGCAGGGGAAGAGGGGCATGAAAGAACATATGATACATTTTTAATCATATTAAAGATTTAAAATCTGTTTCAAAGCTTTAATTTTTTTAAATAGTGTACACCAATACAAAAACTGTATTCAGCTGCAGTTTTACCATTTCTTCCACAGTAGCTTCTGTTAAAGCCAAGAGAGTTGATACTATTAACTGCATCAGGAGCAGTTCCATGCCAGAGTTCTCTCTCATTCTGTGTGCTGGAGGAATTCTGGGTATCCAACAACTTCTTTTTGGCAACATACTGCTGGTATAGCATCTTGTTCTGAATTCTCTCCAACTATAAATAAATTAAACTATCATAATAAATAAAAATTACTATATACTTTATGCCTACATGTATACAGTCATGTAGATATTTCAACAAAAATGTATTATACAATCCATATTAATACTTAAAAAGTTTAATAAGGCTTAAAAATGTAGACATCATCATTGGACGACCTGAATAAATACACAGCATTTATTCCTGTTGGCAAGTAAATTATTCCAGTTTTTGTACTTCTAAGAAAATTGCAATTTAAAAGTACTGTTGTATAGTCCCCAAACTCCCGCCCCCAATCCCTTGGATTTTCAATAGATCAATATTTTCAATATTGCAATATCCATATTCACAGATCCGAGCCTATATTCTGATGTCGAGGAATCAAAAAATGAACTTTCCTTGACCTTTTCAAGAAGACTATGTAAAAGTTTCAAAGGGACAGGATAAAGTTTGGTGCGAATATGATGTAGACCTAACTGTTCATTTACGTAAGGTAGTAATGAATCAAAAGAGACATTGTGTATTAAAGGTTTATTGTAAGACCGATGTCCATGACTACGCTTACGTCTCTGCATGTGTATGGTTAAAAAGTCCCATCACATTTACATTGTTACACTGTGGACTGGAAAGATTTCCAACACTATCGACATTGCCATTACATCCATAGGGAAAGGCTGTCCCTAGTAAACAGTGTTAACATTGTTTTGCTTCAAATCAACCATGGTAGTTACTGTAATATTTTTTTTTAAATCTACATCTATGTCTTTCACAAAGGTTTCCTCTAGAGTGAAATTGTCAGATACGGCTCCATTAACATATCTTCCGTACTCAGAGTAGAACTAATAAGTATATAGAGAAGCTGAAAGGATGTTGCAAAATCAAAATCTGACTCATTAAAATTCTTAAAATATGCCTGGTAATTTAAAGACTTCCTGATGATTTGGACATATTTCTGCAACTTTCGGAAAAAATCTATTTTTTAAACAAGAGGCCCAGGGGCCACATCACTCACCTGAGCACTCTGGGCTAGGAAACAAAAATCAGTTCATTTTTGAAAAGTTTGAATATAAAAGTGGTTGGGGGGGGGTGATTTTAACTAACTTGAATATATACTTCATAGGGATGTTTTTGAATTAAAATGACACATAAAAACTTAGAAGAACAAAACCTGAGAATGCTTCCATTTAAATGTGACGAATCATGGCTTTGCTATGCTGTTCTTGAAAAATTGAGAAATTCTTGAATTTAATATTGAGGTTAAATGAAGGTTTACAGAAAAATAATAAATTGATTGTAAATGAATAGTTTGGAGGAAAGAAACATTCCAATCTTATGCTTGTTGTTCTCTGGGAAGATTTTTTTCCTCTCATCTATTCAACATCATCTTATTTATCCAGTGCATGTTGTAAGTGCAGTCCAAATTGCTTTATCCTTACCTTAACAATATTTCGTTTGCCTACTTGTCCATGGAATCTGTCAATAACACTAGAATATTCTGGGGTTCCAGATTTAACTTGGACAACCACAAGGTTTTCTTCCTTCATAGCTGTCCACTCTGGTGGAGGCTCAAATGTTGAATCTGTCAGAGATGTGATCATATACATGTTTTATTCTAATAAACAAAGATTATGTGGAAGTGTACTTCAAATACATTTAATGCATAAGGTGGCTAGGTAAGAAATCCACATAAGACTGAAGAGAAATTGTGATTCCATAGAACTATGACCCCGTTGAAGAAAATGCATTTACAGTAGGTAGGTGCATGTACATCGGTCAAGGTCAGAATATTTACCTGTATTTACAATATTTTCAAGCCAATTAAGATTATTTATCCCCCCTCCCACCCCTCCCTGAATCAAATGAACTACCCTTATTAAGAGTGATGTTCACTGCCCTACTGTACAATTTTCTCCTTCTCCACTTCTTGGAATGTAACTCATTTATATATCAAAGCAATTTACTTTATACCTTTGATTTTGTCTCTCCTAGTCACCGTTGTGACATCTTTAGGATCATCACTCGGGAATTCCTCCATGTTGTTGAAGTTGATCGTATACTCCGTCCCTGCTTGATCTGTAAACTTTACATCTGGCTGTTTGTTGCGGTAAGCTTTCTCCACTAGTAAGTTTATGTTCTTTGGGTAATCACACAACTCATTCTTGCCATCACCATTGTCAACAAAGTACCATTGCACAATGTCCGAGACCAGTTCAGCCTCCATAACTGCCTGTTTATTGCGATCAGCATCTCGAAGTAAATTGTGAACATAATCAGTTGCTTCCATCAAGGCATCTTTGGTTCCATGAACCGTAACAATTCCTTTAACTTGATCAACTTGAACATCTACATCAAATCTGCTCTCCAAATTTTGCAAAGAATTCACCTAAAAAATTGAATTACAAAATTTTTAATTTTCCATGTACTTTTCAAGAAGTTATATAGGTTATTTAGCAGAAAATGAAGGTATGGAAATACATATTGTTTGATGCATTTCTTCGACAACAAATATCACATATTTGTTGAATTTTTCAACTCGCATAATAATCATATTAGGTTATCAGAGATTACAGAGCTCACCTCAATGTCTTTAAGTAAGGCAAAGTCCCAAACTAAACATAATCTAGTAGTGTGCATTCCTAGATACAGCATTTATGCAATTTTGGTCTGACAGGGCTTGCAGTTATTTGGGAATGGACTTATCTAAAAACTTTAAACTAGTTCACTCATCCAGAAAATTAAGTCAAATTCAGCATCTAAAGCAAGTTAGTGAGTGTTCATCCTTTGATGCTTCATTCATGTAAGCTTGGCTCATTCCAATTTTTCTCTATGTTTAGCGTCTGCGGAGGAATTTGAGGTTATGAAATTGAAAACAAACACAAATTAAAATATAAAATTACAAATATTTGAAATGCAATTTGCTCTTTTGGGTTCGGTATCTCTCTTTTTTTAAGTGGTGTACCAAAATATTTTTGTTTCAATAAACTAGTAGTTTTATGTACTAGTTGCAATACGAAGAGAATTCTCAAATGATGTTGATGATAAATTCTAGAATTGCGCTCAAAATGCTCTGTTTTTCCTTTTGGTTTGTGTGTTTTTTCTGGATAAAAAGATAGGTTTTTGAATTTAGCGTGGACCCTAAACAAAGAAAAAACTTGGAATGGCCTAATGGATCTGCCCTAAAAACTTCAACCTGGTCACTCATCTGGAAAATGTAGGTCATATCCAGAATCTGAAGCAATACTGGTGGTGTGCATCCCTTGATGTATCACCCATTCAAGTTTGGTTAAGATAGGCCTTATAATTTCTTGGTCACAGACTTGCTAAAAATTTTAACCTATTCACTCCTGGAATATGTAGGAGAGATCCAGTATTTGAAGCAAATCTAGTAGTGTGCATCCTTAGATGTATCTTCAGTGCAAAGTTGGTTAGCAGAGGGCTTATAATCACTTTAGAAAGAACCTGCTCAAAAAATTTTAACCTGTTTGCTTATCTGAAAAATGTAGGTCAAATTCAGCATCCGAAGCAAGCCTGATAGTGTGCATCCTTTGATGTATCATCCATGCAAGTTTGGTCCAGGTAGGGTGAATAGTAACTTTAAAATGAACCTGCTCCAAAAACTTTAATCTGGTCATTCATCCAGAAAATGTAGGTCAAACCCAGCATCTGAAGCAAGCCTTGTAGTGTGCATCCTTAGATGTATCATCTATGCAGGTTTGGTCAACATAGGACTTATAGTTACTTGGAAATGAGACCTGCTCCAAAAACTTAAACTGCTCCAAAAACTTAAACCTGCACCAAAAACATTAAACTGGTCATTCTTTAGCTGAAATTGCAGCATCTGAAACTTTGACTGGTACAAAGAAACATACAAAATGTACATGTATAAGCATCTTCCATGCATTTCTGATTAATACAGAGCATAGAAGTACTTGAAAAGAAAACTGCACCAAAAACTTTAACCTGGGACACTGACACCGAAGGTATTACATAAGCTCCCCCAACTTAAAAGTAAAAATTAATGACATAGTTAGTTATTGATATACCAAAGATGCATGTGTGTTTGTGTGGGGGGGGGGAGGAGGGGGATCAAGAAGCACCTCAGTATATCAATTTAACATCATGCAATTTCCGGGAAAAAAAATACATATAATAGAATTTAGAAAATGTGTAAAATTGTAAACAAGAAGAGGCAAAAAAATATGAATCCCACCAAAATTTAAAAAAAAACAACCTGTAAATAAGAAAATTAGATTTGACAGACATAAACATATATACTACTAAAACATAAGCTTGTAAATTTTACTGTTCCTATTTCTCATGAGCCACAACACTCACCCAAATCACGTTGGCATTGAGTCAAAAATATAAACCAGCAGTCTCTGACAAGACTGTAGCTCTACTGGTGTGTACTTATAATAAAGAAAGGTGCATCTTTGTATAGTCTACTTGTATAAAAGTCTAATCAGAGACCAGAACTGTAGGAGGAGTAGAATTCTGAAAGAATTTCAAAGAAATTTCTATTTTTCAAAACCATGGCAATTTTGTTTGTCAAAATCAAAAACTGATATGAAGAATTATGTACATGTATCTTGGTAAAGTCTACTTTTGTAACAATTCTTATTGAAATTTGACCAAAACTCTATGAGTAGCAGCATTTTGAAAGAATTTCACAGAAATTTCTATGTTAAGTAAACATGGCTTTGTTTGTTGAAATCAAAAACTAGTATACAGAATTATGCACCATAGTATAGTCTATTTGTGCACCAAGTCTTATTGAAATTGAACCAAATCTGTAGGAAAAGAAACATTTTGAAAGAATATTTGTATCAAAGAAATTTCTATTTTTAGTAACACTGACAACACTGTCAAAATCAAAAACTGACAAAGAGAATTGTATATCTTGGTAAAGTGTACTTGTGTACTAAGTCTTCTTGACATTAAACCAAAACTGTAGGAGGATTAGCATTTTCAAAAATTGTTTACAGACAGACAGTTTTAGACAGACAGACAGGCAATAAAGATCTTACCAATGCACAAGCTCTTCTGGTCTCTGGTCTCCAGTTGAGCAAAAAATTAACAGATGCATGGCGAACAAGCTTCAACCAGTAAAGCTCATTTGAGCCTATGGCTCAGGTGAGCTAAAAACAGCCACTTTTCATATCTGATTCATTTCTGCAAAGTTCAGTATCTATTGAAGTAGTGTAGTTCAGAAGGTAGAGAAAGGATAAGAGATAAGTTAGAAGAGACAACCATTAACAATAAAAACCTGTGCTTTAGAAATTTGACAGATGATGGGGTC